AGACGCGCTTATAAATCCTACCTAGGGCTTCTGCGACTTCCCCAGAATCCTTGCTGGTTATGGGTTCGGCGTCCTTGTATCTGCTTGCGATATCGACTATGGTCAAAGCGTATCTATAGGTCTTTCTTCTCACTTTGTCGTGCGGTAAGAAAAGCAAGTCCGCCTGATGAACTTCATTGGGGGCATTTACGGTAAAGCTGGGCCTGGGAATGTACTTGGGCACGGGAAGATAGACCTGCCAGAGGGTTTGTTTTTTTAACCAGTTCTTAGCCGTTTCTTCTGATACCCTGGCCGCGGTCGCGAGTTTCTTGATAGCTGAAGCTCCTCTCCAATAGCCTTCAGGCCCGTAGTAAATCCTTTTAAGTTTGTCCTCAGTTCGACCCATTATATGAATTCCAGGACGAGATTGATCTTGCGTCCGTTGAAGTCCACCGTCTCTCCGTCCACTTTAATGGTGATGTTTATGCTTTCTACCAATTCGTTAGACAAGTCATGCTCCAAAGAAATGGGGGTGTATTCTACCAGGTCAAATGGATTACCCTTAGGCGGAAACTTGGACATTAGATTGCTGGGTCCTTCATTAAAGTACGAGCTTACTAGGCTGTAGTGAACTTCGTAGTTAGCGGGAACTTTCCATTTCACATCATATGTACTGCCGCTATTTATCGTGGTACTACTAAGACCCAGGAGTTCCACCAATGGACCGCCCTTTAGATTGGCACTCCCATTATTTTTCTTGAATGTCATTTCATGGGGCAATCCTGTGGTAAGAGTATATCCATGCTTTGCTAGCTCCTTAGCCAGCGTTATAGGGGTGTAATGGGAATCTGGCAACTTTGGCTTGTTGGTATTAACAACGACAAAGCCGCCAATCAAATTATACCAAGAATTGTACAAAGAGCAACTAACCAGCCGAACCTTATAGGCTTTAATGGGGGGATTCAAGTAAGTGATAAAGTCATTCTTGTCGCTTTCCAAAAAGACGATCATATATTAGACTAAATACGACAAAGCCGCGCCTCCTGCCAGCCCTGCAACTCCTACGAATACCAGCTCGCTATCTTTTCGTTTCTTAGAAGGCTGGTAGTAATTCTTGAACTGAGGCCTTTTTAGCCCTGTCGATGCCGCGGGGTGCGCCTGCGCATAAAGTTTAAAAGCGTAGTCTGTGTTTTCGAAGTTCTTATCCTCCTGCATCTTGTCTTGGTAGTTCTTGTCCAACCAATCCCTGTAAGCTTGTCTTTTTTCATTCCAAGCCGCCACATCCCTTTGATACTTTTCCAGCGCTAAGTCGTGCCTCTTCCTCTCAGCGGCTAAATCTCCGCTGCGATCACCTCTGACTAATCTATCCAAATACTGACCAGCATAATTAGCTCCAGTGAATGCTAAAGCTGCGAGTACGGCGCCTCCTAACATAGCCATTTATACATTAGGGATGTACTTTTCCTTTCGTAGGTAATCATTTACCATGATAGCCCCGCCAACGGCAGCGGTCATCTTGGCAAAGTTAGCAAAGCTCTTGCTTGGGTCTTCAGTAAAGTCTTCTTTGAGCACCTTTTTACTTACCCAAGCAATACCCGTAACGATAGAAGTGATGATAGCTGCTTCTTTAACAGTTTTCAATAACGCGGTTGACATTATATTACAGAGCGAGAAGGTTATTCCATCACGGGTATTTTGCTTCTAGGCTCCTGCGGTACGTGCACGGGTTCTACTTTTGGCTTCGTAGCCCGCCATTGTAAGTAGAGGCTGCCTGCTGCTATAGCAACTCCCAACGCGCCAATTACGTAGCCCGGATTAATAAAGGATTCCTCTTCTTTTTCCTCTGCCTTTTCCTCCTTTTTTGCTTTGTTCTTCCTGTTCATCTCCGCGAGCTTCTTCCCGGCAGCGACTCTGCCTGGAGATTTAGCCTTGGTGATTCGTTGCTCCTCTTGGAGCTGCTCCTCCGCCTTCGATTCGGCTTCACTCATTTATATCTAAGGACTTGAAGGACTTGATACGTAACTTGAGTAAGTACTTAAGGCGACTTGACTAAGTACTTGAGGCGACTTGAGAATGACTTAAGAAGGACTTGAGGCGACTTGGTCAGGTACCTCAGCAAGTGCCACCTGTAAGACCTTTTCGACTTCTCTATCCTTCTTGAAGTCCTTCCAAGACATCGTAAGTTCCTTCAAGTCGACATGCTGAGCTACGTGCAAAGCCGCGGAGGCTACTGCCATTAAATTGCCGCACTTCAAAGACAACCACCCACAGGTTATCTTAAGTTCTTGGGCGATGACATAGTCCTCGCTTATGTCCTTC